GATTTCTCGAAGCCGTTGTAAACAAGGCTTGAAATTTTCAAATTTTTTGAATTCGATTTTAATCGATTTTCTGGAGAATTAGAAGAAAATAAATTTTCAAAATTTTTTTTTTGGAAAAAAAAATTTGACCGAAAAAATTTTTTTGAAACTTAATTTTTTTTTTCTAACTTTCCTGAAAATCGAGTCTAAAAATTTGAACATTTCAAGCCAAATTTTCAATGGTTTCGAGATGTCGCGGAGCCGTTTTTTCTAGAACTTTCTCGATTTTCCATGAAATCTTGAACTTTTTCCCTTCCAGACGAGACATCAAGGCACGCCTTCCATCGGACATTGATTGGGATGAGATCAGTGGAGCTGCGGGCCCTAACTAGTGAAGTGAAGTGTGTGCTCATAAGTGCTCCTCTCCGATGTATTTGCTTTATCCTTCTGTGTTCCCCCCTGTCACCCCCGGTTGATTTTCCTTTTTTCCTACTACTTTCGCTCTTGCCCTGTACTGTTTTTCCCTTCCAAGACAATTTTTTTCCCGCCCAAAAAATGTATTTCTCTCTGTGATTGTACCATTAGAACTGCTGATCTGATTTGTTATTTACATATAAATTTTTGTTGGTTTATCAGGTTTTGAGGGGGAAATCATGGATGGGGATATTCTGTGTCAAAACAGTTGATACTTTACTCGGGAGTTCTGTGAAATTAAAGGCGCAGGATATTTTTTCAAGGAAAAAAAACGAATTTACTCAAAAAAATAAGATTTTTTCCGTGATTTAACTGATGCTTATGACAGCCCTTACTGGAAAAGTTGACAGAAAAAAAGTCTGCAATCTGACGTGGTGGTGTTTTCAGACTGTGCACCATAACTTACGAAAGTACAGTTTTTGAGCTAGAAATGCAGTTTTACAGGAATTTTCTGGAATAAAATGAGTTTTTTGTCTAAAATAGGCATTTTACGTGAAGAAAATGAGGTTTTCTGTGTAGAAGTTTAAAACAAACCTTTTTTTTGTGAATTAGCGATCAATTTTAACGCTGTTCCCATCAAAAAATAAGTTTTTTCCGAGATTTTCCATGAATTTTGCTGAAAATTGAGATAAATAGCGAAATTTGTCGATAAATCATCGTTTTTTTCGCCTAGAAAACTTCCTTCTGTAATTTAAAAGGGGCATGCTCAAAGTTTCTTAAAAGGGTCTCACCACGATGTAAGCTTACTGTAGTATTTTTTGATTTTCACGAAAGTGACGCGTTTTGGTCAGTAAAAATTGAAAATGAATAAAAAGAAAGATTTTTTGAAGCAATTTTGAATTATTTTCTACAAAAAAAATCAGACGGTTCAAAGGCGCAAGCAATTATTGGAGAATAGCGCGACGAAAAGTTATTAATGTAACAATTTTTAATTTTCATGGAAACAAGGCTGTTTCAGCCATAATAGTAGCAGTATTTGCTCTGAAAATTAATTTTTACCGACATTAACTCAGCTTGACATTCTAGTATATATTGTCACCCCGAGACTTGAGCAAACACGCCCTACCGCAAAATTAGAAGTTAGGCATTCCAATTTGATTTTTCGGTGAAACTCAGAATCCTTTTCAATTGCTTTTTTTCCGGTAGAGCACATTTGCTCTCAATATTTAGGCAAATACTCAACTGCTCCCCCTCTACTGCTATTTCTCAACTGCTATGGGGGTGATCAACTGCTATGTTGCAACTATTAGTGTCTCAAGTGCTATATTTGATTGATTCTTCTGCTATGGATCAACTGCTACAGAAATAGCAGTTGGGTCAACAAATAAGGCTAAAATAGCAGTTGATCCATAGCAGAAGAGCTGAATATAGCAGTTGAGATAGTAGCAGTTACAAAATAGCAGTTGATGACCCCCATAGCAGTTGAGAAGTAGCAGTTGAGTATCTATCCAACACTTATTCCCCGTAGTTCCTTGGTTACCACGGAAACCCCATAACCCTTAATTAACACAAAACCGCCCTCTTTTCGCCCATTTTCAATCAATTTTTTCCTTCCAAAACCCCAAATTTCCCTAAATCTTTCCTAAAATTCCCACAAAATTCCAGAAATTTCCAGACTTTTTTGCTAATTTTCAATCAATTTTTTCGGTTCAAAATCACAAAATTTCCCCCAAATTTCCAGATGTCCTCCACCATCCGCCACCAACTCCAACAAATCTACTGGCGCATCGTCGACCACCCATTCGACTCCATCGAGTCCATCCTCGCCATCATTATTCCACTTGGAGTGGTCGCTCTGATGTTCCAATGGCGCGTGAAGCAGTCCATGAAAAAGCAGAAGAAGTTGGCGGCTCGGAGAGAGAGGCTTATGAAGAAGTTGAAGAAATATGAAAATGGAGGAGCTGGAGAGGATGAGGAGGATGATGATGTTATCAAGGAGGCCATCAAGTTAATGGAGGAGAAGGCCAAGAAGTTGAATTGATCTTCTTTTTTTCCTTTTTTTGTTGTTTTCAAGCATAATTTGTGGAGGTAGATACTCAATATTTTGGCTCTTTTGCTATTGATCAAGTGCTATCTCTTGTTTCATTTGCTATAACATTTGTCCCATTTACGAAACAAATACTGAACTGCTATATTTGGCTCTTCTGCTATGGATCAATTGCTATAGCCATAGAAGTTGAGACAGCAAAAGCAGCGAAAATAGCAGTTAATCACCCCAATAGCAGTTGAGTATTTGCCTAGTTTTTGGGTAGATACTCAAGTGCTATTGAGGTGCTTTTGTGCTATTTTGGATCTTGTCCTGTAGATCAAGTGCTATTTTCGCCACTTTCAATGGCTCATTTGCTACAACTATTGGAGCCCAAAAAAATAGCACTTGATCACGCCCGATAGCACTTGAGTATCTACCCTATTTTGTGATCTCTTTTACTTTTTTGTGCAATAAATTTTCTCAAAGGTTCTTTTTTGTTTTGAAGCATAATTTGTGGGGGTAGATACTCAAGTGCTATGGCGGTGATCTTGTGCTATTTCCCAGTTTTCCAAAATTTGGTTCTTCTGCTACGGATCAACTGCTATTTTCGCCACTTATGTGCTATGACTTTTGTCTCATTTGCTAGGCAAATACTCAACTGCTATGACGATGATCAACTGCTATATTTGGCTCTTCTGCTATAGATCAACCGCTATAGCCATAGCAGTTGAGACCTCAAAAGTGGAGAGAATAGCAGTTGATCCATAGCAGAAGAGCCAAATATAGCAGTTGAGACACTAGCAGTTACAACATAGCAGTTGAGTATCTACTCATTTGCTATGACTTCTGACTCATTTGCTACCTTTTTTCTCATTTGCTATCACTTTTGTCTCATGTGCTATAGAGAAATAGCACCAGAGCGAAAAAAAATGACAAAATAGCAATTGATCACCCCCGATAGCACTTGAGTATCTACCTAGTTTGTATCTAATTTGTGGGAAAATACTCAAGTGCTATAGGGGTGATCTTGTGCTATTCTCCAATTTTCCGAAATTTGGCTCTTCTGCTATGGATCAAGTGCTATTTTTGCCACTTTCAATGTCTCATGTGCTATGACTTTTGTCTCATTTGCTATGCCTCACAGCGAAATAGCACTTGATCACCCCCGATAGCAGTTGAGTATCTACCCTAATTTGTGATCTCTTTTACTTTTTTGTGCAATAAACTTTCCCTAAACTTCCAGCTTTCTTCCTCAACTATACAACTCTCAAAAAGGGGGCGGACCGACCCAAAAAGGGAGATGAAATATAAATACCGAAAAATAATAGAGTTGAATGACGGAAACAAGGTGAGGTGGGGCATGTTGCATTTCTGATGATGGGGTAGAGAAATAGTGTGGAAGATGGTGGAGACGCAGGGAGGAGACAATTTTGAGACAATGGAAGTTTTGGGATGGAGAAGTAATGGATATTATATTTCTTCTTTTTTTTTGGGTGACTGATGGTTTTTTTCTTGTTCTGAGCAATAGTTTAAAGGCGCAGTCCCTGTTAGACATTTTTTGTACAAAAAATCATAGTTGCCGTTCAAATAGAAAAAAGTACCGTAGGATTCGTGGTGAAACCTTTTTACCCACTGAAAGCCTCAAAACTACCGTAACCCGCTCAATTTTGGTCGAAGCTTCATGAAATTTATACGGTTAGAATCAGCGAATCAAGCCGGTTCGAATGAGTATAATCATGACTAGGTTTGGAAAACTTTTGATTTTGGGTCTCGGCACGAAAACCTCAAAACTACCGTATCTTAACCAGTTCTGATCTGAATTACACGAAAATTGTACAGTTAGAATCAGCAAGTCAAAGCAGTTCGAATGAATATGATCATGGCTAGGTTTTGAAATTTTTTGGTTTTCGGGTCTCGGCAAGAAAACTCAAAAACTGCCATAACTCGGTTAGTTTTTGCTCTAGACTCGTGAAATTTTTACTGTTAGAATCAGCAAGTGAAGACGGTTCGAATGAGTATAATCATGGCTAGGATCTGAAAATTTTTTGATTTCTGGGTCTCGCCACGAAAACTCAAAAACTACCGAAACTCGATTAGTTTTGGACTTAGGCTAATGAAATTTCTACGGTTAGAACCAGCAAATCAAGACGGTTCGAATGAGTATAATCATGTTTAGGTTCTGAAAATTTTGGTTTTTGGGTCTCGACGCGAAACCGTTTCAGTTTTTTCAAGGCGCATGCAGGGAAGGTGCATGCAAGTTTCAGGAAAGTTACTACCGTATCAGTTTCTGATTTCTCTCAAAATGATGTATTCTGTATGATCAGAAAAACATGATTATGGCTCAAAAATTTATTTTTTTTTTGTTGTGAGAAAATCAAATCTGACAATAAAACCTTTTTTTTTTGGCGAGACCAACTAAGCTTGGCTTCTATTTCATGTCGTTTGAAAATCGAAAACTAATACAGTAAGAAGTTCCCTGGAGCGTGGTGGGACCCTTTCCCACATGGCCAACCGGTATCCCCCCCCCCTTTCTCTTGGCGCCGCCACCTTTACGCCCTCCCCTCCAATTACGGTGTTGCACCTCGTGGCCTAGCGGCTAGCGCTCCCGTTTAAGAAATTCGCATCGCGGGTTCGACCCCCACTGGGGTCAAATCTTTTTTCTTTTTTTATAAATGGTTTCTGATGTCGGAGAAGGCCCTGGGAGGTAATTTGAGGTTCAGGAATTGAGTTTAGCCACCCAAAACCTGAATTTTATTAGAAAAAAAACATGTTTGTCCTAAAAACCGACCCAAAATTCTATACATCGCAACAATGAGAAAGAAAGAACCTAGCCAAATTAACGACCCATCTGGATTATCAAAAATTCGAAAGAAATTGGTCTTTTCTCCTCATTTCTTCCCTTTTCAAAGGGGCATCATCCACCATCCAATTAGTATTTTATGTCTGCGCTCTCCACAATTTTATGAGATCTTTTGAATATTTTAATAAAACTACCCCGGGGTGCCCTCATCCTTTTTTTCCCCCATTCTTTTTTGTTGCCATCCTACTCCGAAAATGACTGTTTCAATGGAGGAAAATGCGAGAATTCAGATGTTATCCGCCACGAGTAAGGATAAGAAAACGGCGACGGAGAGGAGTTTGGTCGAGAAATATGTGAGTTTTTTGGGGGTGTACCTTAAAGGCGCAGGGTGGGTCCCTTTCAAAAACTTTCAAAAAAACATTTTTTTTTTTTGGTCTCGGCACGAAAACTCAAAAACTACCGTAACTCGATTAGTTCTCGCTCCAGGCTCATGAAATTAGTACGAATTGACTCAGCAAGAGAAGGCGGTTCAGATGAGTATAATCATGACTAGGTTCTGAAAATTTTTGTTTTTGGGTCTCGACGCGAAAACCTCAAACCACCGTAACTCGGTTAGTTTTTGTCTAATCTTCACGGAAATAATATATTTGGAATCAGCGAATCAATCCGGTTCAAACGAGTATAGTCATTACTAGGTTCTGAAAATTTTTGATTTTGGGTCTTGACACGAAAACCTCAAAAACTACCGTAACTCGGTTAGTTTTGACCCTAGCCTTATGAAAAATATACAGTAGGAATCAGCAAGTCAAGCCGGTTCGAATAAGTATAATCATGACTAGGTTTAGAAAAATTCGAGTTTTGGGTCCCACCACGAAAACCCAAAAACTACCGTAACTCGGTTAGTTTTGATCCTAGCTTCATGAAAGTTATACGGTTGGAATAAGCGAATCAAGCCGGTCCAGATGAGTACAATTATGATCAGGTTTGTGTAAAAAAATTTTTTTGGGTCCTGGCACGAAAACCTCAAAACTACCGTGATTCTGTTAGTTTTTATCCCAGCTTCACGAAAATCACATATTTAGAATCAGCAAATCAAGCCGGGTCGAATGAGTGTAATCATTACTAGGTTCTGAAAATTTTTAATTTTGGGTCTCGACACGAAATCAAGGCGCAAGGGCCAGGGACCCACCCTGTGCCTTTAAGGTCCCCCCTGCCCCTCTGAAATAACATTTTCCAGCACCTCGGCCCCCTTGCCCTTCACACCGGCCTCGTCCTCAGTTGTGTCACCTATGCAGTGGGCGGAGCCTACCTGTTCCTCTCCATCGAACGACCCGAAGAGCTGAAACGTCGAGGACGGGCTCTCCTAGAATTCCAAGAGCTCAAGGACCAATTTATTGGGAATTTAACCCTATCAAATCCGGAGAGAAGCATGGATATCTACACGAAAAAGCTCATGTACCTACTGGAAGACGCTCATAAGGCACACACTTTTGAGCACTTTTTTACGGATAACGCTGTGGCCAAGGACATGTGGACGTTCTCGTCGGCACTGGTTTTCACGACCACTACGGTTATTCCAGTGGGTAAGTTTTTCAAGGTTTTTGCTAATAAAGAAAATATAGAAAAAAATAATTTTCAGTTGTTGCAGAAAATAGAGCTCAAAAACGGGGAAATCGAAAGTTTAGAGATTTTCATTTTTTTCAATTTTTGTTCAGGGTTTCCTCTTTTTTTTTTGAGCCAATCCTATATGACATTTATACCGACCGATAGGAAAATTTCCGCTCTATCGATATGTATAAAAATCATATAGGGTTGTATCAGAAAAAGTGGCTGGAAATCCTGAAAACCTGAGATTTTAGTGATGAATATCGTGATCTTCCGACTTTCAGCTTTTGGAGCAAGTTTTTCTGAAACAACAATATGATATTTATACCAATCGGTAGATAATTTTTTGATCTAAAATTTCCTTCCATTTTAGTTCTTCATAATTCACTAAAATGAGGCCTCTACTAACTAACTGACAAACTCTAAAAACTCAAAATAGGCATCATCTGTACCCTACCTCTAGTTTTGCCTCCTGACCTGCACAAAACTCTCTGGTTGCAGTTCTATCTCCAAATCTGACAAGGCTACTCCTTTTTTTTTGAAAACCCTCTAATAAAACTGCACCATTGCAGGTTACGGTTACGTGTTCCCAGTATCTGCATATGGTCGGATGTGCCTTGTTGCCTATGCCCTTCTGGGTATCCCTCTGACTTTGGTGACGATGGCGGATACGGGAAAGTTTGCGGCACAGTTGGTGACAAGGTGGTTCGGGGAGGTGAGTCTCAGCCGGGTTGTCCATCTTGGAAAATGTCGGAATTTACAGTAGCGAAAAATACTGAGAGTACCTCACTAAACTTCACTAAACTTGCAAATCGTCAGTGGTAATATTGGTACGTCTAGAACGAAGCCTTGACTTTTTCTCCCTTTTTCATAATTTGGTTAAAAGTGACCCGATCAATTCAAAAATTCCAGAGAGGACGTATCTTGAACCAGATAAAAATGTTCTATTGAATTCTTAGCGATCGGAAAACTTTCATCTTTGACTATTTCCATAAGCAGCGTAAAGTCAAAAAAAATCTCTAGACTGTATATAAGGGATTCTTGAATTTCAGAACATGGCTATCCCAGCTGTCATATTCGTCTGTCTTCTATTTGCCTACCCACTGGTCGTCGGATATATCTTGTGCTCCACTTCGAATATCACATTTTTGGATTCGGTTTACTTCTCACTCACTTCAATTTTCACAATTGGATTCGGGGATCTTACAGTAAGCTTGTCCAATTTTTTTACTTAAGCAGACCCATTTGCAACCTAGCAGGCCGCAGACTGAGGAAAGCTTCGGGGGACTTTTCGTGCATCTTTGCGTGAGAGTGTTGCATCGAGCGGTGTTTGCGGAGCTTGTGCTACTGTACAGTAATACTAGGGCCCATTGTGTTTGGAGCGGCCTAGTAGACCTGGAAGAACGCTCCGGTCATCCACGTCCGTCTACAGATCGTAGTCTTCGATTTACAGCTCTGATCCTAGTTTTCTACCATTTTTGACTCGAAAACTTCACTACACTCCCCCTAATCCGCATTTTCAGCCCGACATGAACGTCATCCATATGGTGGTCTTCCTTGCAGTCGGTGTGATCCTTGTCACCATCACCCTGGATATAGTGGCTGCTGAGATGATTGACAGGGTGCATTACATGGGAAGACACGTCGGAAAGGCGAAGCAATTGGCTGGAAAGATGTTCCAACTGGCTCAGTCGTTGAATATGAGACAGGGATTGGTGTCGGGAGTTGGGCAACTGCATGCCCTGGCAAGATTTGGCATGCTGGTGGGCAAGGAGGATGTGGAGAGGGTTGAGGTGAGGGGGTTTAACAGGAAATTGGGGAATTTTCAGTAGAGTCATTTTCAGCTAGATCAGGGTTGTTTTAAGCCAAAATTGGGCAAATTTTAGCCAAGTTTAGATTGGTTTCAGCCAAATTTTGTGTGTTTTTAGCCAAATTTGAGCCATTTTGAGCCAAAATTTTAGACATTTTGAGCTCAATGTCTGGCTCAAAATGGCTCAAATTAAGCTCAAATTTTAGCTCAAAATGGCTCAGAAAAGCTGGAACTTTGAGCTATTTTGACTCGAATTTGAGCGATTCTGAGCCAAATTTGAGCTATTTTGAGCCGAATTTCGAGCTTTTTTGAGCCAAATTGGAGCCTAATTTGAGATACTCTGAGTCAAACTCGAGCTGTTTTGAGCCAAATTTTGAGTCATTTTGAGCCACAAGTTGAACTATTTTGAGACAAAATTTGAGCTATTTCAAGCCTAAATTTAAAGGACTTTGAGCTAAAATTTGAGCTATTTTGGGCCAAAATTGAGCTATTTTGAGCCACAAATCGAACTTTTTTGAGCCTAATTTGAGCCATTCTGAGCCAAGATCGGGATCTTCCAATACAAAAAATTGTCGTCAATTCCGATGTCTAGTCCGCAAACACCCCCGATTTTTCAAATTTTGCAGCCCGAAGACTGCGTCATCGCCTTCTCCCCGGACGTCATGGATGGGCTGGACTTTGTCGACACCCTATCGATATACAGTCGTCGGAGCAGACATTCGGCTGGAAATTCTGCACGGAATTTGTTCTTGTCTTAATTTTTGAAGTCAAGCGGGCGGCAATTTGAAAAAACTGAAAAGTGCGTTGCGTTGCGTTTTGTGCGTTTTGATCTCAGAATTTTTTCGAAAATAAAAAATCTTTGAAAAAATAAAAAATTCCCTATTCCCATTGTCTCATTCTTCTTTTTTCCCTAGACGCGTCGTCAAAATCTATTATGACGAAAAATGAATAAATAAATTGAATGAAGGAAAAATTGAAGGTTCCTTCTCCCTTTCCAACTGAAAAATTCAATTTTTTCTATTCATTTTCATTTTTTTTTCTCTGGAGTTTTCGTTTCCACAACTTTTTCCTATTTTCTCAATTTCTCATAAAATTGGATTTTGGGCCTGGTAGCTCCATCATTGCACACCTTTTCCTTCCCTTTTTTTTGTGTTTTGACCCCCACTACTTTGTAAAACTAGTTGCGAAATGTCCTAGACCACTCAAAACCTGCTGAAAAGCAATTAGGAGAAAAAACAAAAAGAACTGCCACCATGAGGAATCGAACTTGGGACCATCTTCCTCTAGATTTTTAAGGAAAATCCACTGAGCCACTTATACGCTTTTTAACCCCCCCCCTCGAGGCAGAGGCAGAGAGAGAGAGAGAGAGACACCCCGCAGTAACGTGACTGCCCTCCCTCCTCTTTGCTTTTGCTGCCGCCGTGGTGTAGTGGCT